CGTGGATTGGAATAATGCGTGTGGTTTACTTTTTTTCTTCTTAATATACCCATTTCAATTTTCTTTATTTACGTTTGATATCATTTGCTCTTATCATAGTATCATTTATCTATTCTTTATGACTTAGATTGAAATAAAGTGTTGTGTTGTCCTTTCCAAACGGAAGAAATGACTCCAAGCAATAGAGTCTAAAATGGCCCGGATTTCAGCGGATTCTGGACTCGAAGCGCTATCTCCTTGGAAGAAGCAAGGAGGACCAAAGACAGAGGACGAAGTTCTTGAGTCGGAGGACAAACTTGAGGATTTCCGAAAATAACTGAAGTGGTAAGACCCGCCGAGACCAGAGTAAGTGGAGGTTGCTGGTTCCAGTTTTTAAATCCGTTCGTGTTTTCTGTCGTGATTTTATTTTGTGTTTATAGATAACATCAGATTTTCCATCAGTTTGGAAAGTTGAAATGAAAATTAATACTGCGTCTACATGCAGGAGCGTATATAAACCATACACACTCTCTGTTTATCTATCGTCTGTGTTTCTGTCTGTCTGTCTGTCTGTCCGTCTGTCTCTCTCTCTCTCTCTCTCTCTCTCTCTCTCTCTGTCCTTCTCCTTCTGTGTGTGTGTGTGTGTATGTGTGTGTGTGTGTGTGTGTGTGTGTGTGGTGTGTGTGTGTGTGTGTGTGTGTGTGGTGTGTGTGCGTGTGTGTGTGTGTGTGTGTGTGTGTGTGTGTGTGTGTGTGTGTGTGTGTGTGTGTGTGTGTGTGTGTGTGTGTGTGGTGTGTGTGTGTGTGTGTGTGTGTGTTGTGTGTGTGTGTGTGTGTGTGTGTGTGTGTGTGTGTGTGTGTGTGTGTGTGTGTGTGTGTGTGTGTGTGTGTGCCCGAGTGTGTATACACGTGTGTGTATGCATATAAGAACATACACAAACACACGTGCTCCTAGCAGCGTGAGCCCGTAAAGACGCAGCCTGTTTTGCTTCCAGTGCAACTCGTGAGAAATTATCGCGTCCCCGCCAACCATGAATTTTATCAGGTGTGATATCGTACGCACGTCTCATGCTGCTTATCGCGCCGTGCCGTCGTTCTAGCCTCGGCCTTGGCTTCTCTATAAATAAATACAAAAAAAGGAAAAAATGTACACATAATGAATGGAGCAAAGAAAAAAGGAATGTTTATACATCCGCATGAATGGAGCAAAGAAAAGAATGTTTACACATCCACATGAATGGAGCAAAAAAAAAAATGTACACATATCCGCATGAATGGAGCAAAGAAAAAAATGTTTACACATCCGCATGAATGGAGCAAAGAAAAAAAAAAGAAAATGTACAAAAGCAAGAAGATTTTTTCAGGGGTAACTGAAGCAAAAGTAATGTTTTTCCAAACCCTGAAAAAAGGTAGGTTACGCAGTTCAATGTGAACGCGGCACTGGAGAGCTGGGATTTACGACACCATAAAATACCAGAAAAAAATAGATAAGAGAAGTATATATTTTTTCTGTTCGTCTTTTTTTTCTAACTATGCATCTTATATATTTCAAGCGGGGTGGGTTTATTTTAATTTGAGAACCACTTCAGAACTAGGTGTGTTCAACCATGATGCATTTGAGATAACATAAATCTGAAGTGGTTATCATACAAGCCAATAACTGATAGCTGTAAGGCATGCCATCCAAAGCTAAAAGGCTCATGTCAAAAAATGGATGCTAAACTTTGCAGGAAAGGTTCGTCTTTTTGCGACGACAGTATGCACGTTGTTTATCTTTCACCTTTGACGTACAGAGCGCGAGGTCGGGTGCTTCGCTGGAGGCCAGGGAGGAGGTCCAGACTGATACTCAGGCCAACAAAGGTCCTCTCTTTTCCTCTTTCTCCGTCTCTCTCAACACTCTCTCTTATGCAATAACTAGCTCTCTTTACTATCTATCTCTATCTTTCGTCTCTCTCTCTTTTCTATCATATCTCTATCTACTCTCTCTCTCTCTCCTCTCTCTCTCTCTCTCTCTCTCTCCTCTCTCTCTCTCTCTCTCTGTCTCTCTCTCTCTGCTCTCTCAACGCTCTCTCTATCTCTCTTTCTCTCTCTTCTCTCTCTCTTCTCTCTCCTCCTCTCTCTCTCTACTCTCTCTCTCTCTCTCTCTCTCTCCTCTCTCTCTCTCTCTCTCTCTCTCTCTTCTCTCTCTCCTCTCTCTCTTTCTCTCTCTTCTCATCTCTCTCTCTCTCTCCCTCTCTCTCTCTCTCCTCTCTCTTCTCTCTCTCTCCTCTTCTCTCGCTCTTCTCTCCTCTTCCTCTCTCCTCTCTCTCACTCACTCTCTCATCTCTACTCTCTCACTCTCTCACTCCTCTCACTCTCTCTATCACGTATATCGTGCTTATCTGTAGTAGTGTGTGGTGTGGGTGTGTGTGTGGCAAAACTGCGTTGCCGTTGATCATGTGTGTGATTGGTGGTACTCTCCCTCATCCTATATCTTCATTCGACCGGTGCGTCCCACGTTCAATGAAGCCGTGCTGTGTGTGTGAGTGTGTGTGTTGGTTGTTGTGTGTGTTATATAATACTCAACCAATAACATAAACATTGTCATAATATTATAACCCATAGATTATCTAAAAGCTATATACAATACATAACGGTCTCCTATATATTATGAGGTATATATATAGCACGTGAATATACTTCTAATATGTGTAATTTGTGAGTAAGTACCTCCTAAGTAGTGTTTATCATGTCGTACATATTGATTGAGTTAGACCACATACATAACGTACTATATATATACTTATATAATGCTCCTATATACTATTAATACCCCTTCTAACCGTATGCACTAATAACGCTTACTATAATTGCATACTGGAATACTATCATGGTAGTACTGTCCTACACTCATTACTAACGGTGGACGGCTACTATATATATAATATGAGAGTGCGCGATAAGACCATATTGATACGATCCATAGTATATCGATCTAAGCTACTCTTATACGACATTATACTACATTATGCTATACTAGGACCTCCGACGTATATAACCATTACTAGTTCAATCCTACTTATATCACGCGCTACACCTAACTACCTACTGTATAGTACGTACTCTCATATATTATGCACTCTTACTATCAACAGAGTAATAGTGTATATACTATTCACTATATATATATATTAACGTCTGTCACTCATAATTATAATTATATACCCTATATACTATATCTCATCATGGTCTCGGACATTTATATAATATAATCATAGATATAATATAATATACATAATAACTATTATAATATATATATGTATCTACCATAGTTATTATATACCCTAATATAGATAGTATATTATATAAGCTGTGAATTATATATACACCTCATATATATTATATATTATCCCCATGCCAATATACTATATATATAATATACATACATCCCATATTATATCACCAACTATTATTAGATATGATATACATACTATACTATATATTATAATATATATTTATACATATCGATACATACTACTTAGTCAGTATAATACTTAACTATACCTGTTATATAATGTTCATCAACATCACATCAATCGTATATACTGCATCTCCATACTATACATCATATATACCATACTCACTATATATTAACAGGCAAACGCGAATATACATCACATATACATCATATATAGCTTCATTCTATCATTTATACTATTCTGATAATAGACCTATCATATCTACTATATTATACTATCATATCACTGACTATACCGATATACAATACTAGTCATATATGATATATGTATGTATATGATGTATATACTATACATGAATACTATATATATATACTAACAATCTATATACTATAGAGTATACATTACTAGTAATAATACTAATACTATATAATATATATATACCAGAGTATATGTATAGTACGTGCTGCGAGCCATTAATCACATCTTTTTACAAATGTGATTCAAATAAGATACCCGAAATTATAATTACCCATTCATATTCCAACTTCCACTGAAAAGAACTTCCAGGCATCCTAATCTTAAAAAATAAAAACAAAAAAAAAAAAAAAAAAGTTCTTGCACAAAATCAAAAAACGCCCGCATCGCCACACACAGCCAAATGCACAATTGAACGCGCATTCCGCGCTTCCACCGCAACAACCACAGACAACTCTTTCGCTCTGTAGGATAGTGCGGGTGGGGCAGGCTGTGAAGAAGGCCTGGGGACACATGCTAGCCTCGCCCCTCGGGGTTTTCATGGCGCCGGCCCCAGTTTTTTGAGTGGTCGAGGCACCGCCCACACGTGGTAGAAAATCCTCGGGTCCTGCAGCCGCGAATGAAGGATTTTCAACAAACATACAAACCACTATATATATACACCTATTATATATTATATGACTATATACTATACTATATATATATAATCAAAAATTTACATTACTTCTATACACCATAAATATATAAATTACATAATATATAATATACTACTATATATATATAGTATACACTCATCATAATATATATAATCATACTAACAGAGATATGTATTATTAACATATAGGATATAAATACAATAGTACATATATCCCTATCAGTACAATATATTATAACTACTACTATATATATATAATAAATAAAACTAGTATATTATAAAATATATATATATATACGTCATACGTATATCTTA